TTTTTTTTTTTTTTTTTTTTTTTTTTTGTCTTTTGTCTTTTTCCGTGTCGGGCAACGGATCGCAACCCTCGGTGTTGCTCCCGCGCCTCGCTCAGCCAGCGAGCGGGAACTGGTCCGTATGTGGGATCCGAACCCTCGGGCGGGAGCGCCGCCGCGCTTCCCAAGCGGCGCACTATCCAGTGCGCCACCGGGCCGGCCCCATAATGGTTTTTATGTACAAGGGAGAACTAGTATTTTTTTAAATGAAGTTGATATGGAGTATACTGATGTGTTATAATATCCAAGCTACAAAAATTTAAGTTACAAGTAGATGCAGGAGAGTATGCTATCACTTGTGGAGAAAAAATAACATATCCATAATTATGCCCACATATGACAGTGTATCTCTGAAAGGATATACAAGAAGAGATAAAGCAAAACAAAATAAGTAGTTTTCCCTAGGATAGGGAACTCGGGGGAAGGAGGATGCTTTTCACTGTATCCTTTTACATGCTTTTTGAATTCTTTGCCATGTACATGGATTGCTTATTTGAAAAGAAAATTTTATTTGAAAGAACAAACAATACCTGCAAAGTGCATAATAGCTGTTTAATAGAAAACATACCACCAGATGTTTAATTCTTTTACTGAATGTCTACATGATTTTAAAACGATTTGTTTATGAATGTTTATCCCCTCTAGCACCCAGCTCAGAGGCTGGTACATCCCAGCAATTCCACAAATGACTGCGGGAGGAATGAATAATGTGCACGCTGAGTTGAATCAAACGGAACCGATATTGGTCGATGTCCCTCTTACAACTCTATGTGGAAGGAGTGTGCATGTCTCTCTAGAAACCAAGCTCAGTGATGTTCTAGGTTAAGATGGGTTGGATAAAGGCTGAGTTTCACGGTGGGCCAACTTATGGTTCTCAATATGCATTGAGAAGTGCAAGTGTATTTTGGATTTCTCCAGGACTTGCTTTTTTCAGCTAAACCATGGTTCTCAACTGGGGGTAATTTCCCCCCTAGGGACATTTGGCAATGTCTGGAGACATTTTTGGTGGAGACATTTTGGTTGGGGGGGGGGTTGCTACTGGCATTTGGTGAGTAGAGCCCAGGGATGCTGCTAAACATCCTACAAATGCACAGCACAGCCCCCCACAACAAAGAATTATCCAACCCAAAAAGTGAAGGGCTGAAGTTGAGAAACCCTGAGCTGCAGCAACAGCACTGGCTCATGGACAACAGGACCATGACTATTAGACCCCACAAAAGCAGCCTGGAACATACCTAGAACTTCTATGTGTTTGTGTTCCTTCTACAAATACTGCCCGCTGTACAGTCTCCCTGAACTGCATTTTTAATTTAGTCTCCAGCTTATCAACCTTATTTTATTTTATTTTTTTTTCCTTTTTGTCTTTTTTTGTGACCAGTAACGGGATCGCAATGCTCAGTGTCGCGCCCGCACCGCAACCGGCAATGGGATCGCAACCCTCGGTGTCACGCCCGCACCGCGCTCAACCAGTGAGCGGACCGGTCTCCATATGGGATCCGAACCCTCGGTGGGAGCGCCACTGCGCTCCCAAGCACCGCACTTTACCAAGTGCGCCACCGGGCCGGCCCGTTACTTTAAATTTAATCTCATCAAGGAGGATACCAGCTAACTCTGTTCCATCTCCCTGCCACAGTCACTTTGAGGAGCTGAGAAATTGACAGTACTTGAGTATTTGGGGAACAACCTTTCTGGGAAATCCTGCAGGGTTCAGTGAAAAGTTCAGTGGTTCCTGGGGCCAGGAGTTCTCTTGAGTGCTAGCTCATGAGGCTGGTTCTTGAAAAACTAAGGGAGAATGAAAATATATCTGCATGCTTCTCAGGAAGAAGTCTGCAGAAAGATTTGGGATGGCTTTAGATCAGGAAGGGGCCAGACTCCTCCAGGCTTACGCAGGAGCAACATGGATGCTGAAGGAGTCTCCCCCGATTCTGGGTATCAGTGGAGGAAACCCAGGGAGTCCTGGCTGCTCTCCTTAACCCCATGACAGGTGGGACCTGCTTTATCTGGAAGGCCTTCGGGGCATGTGATACTCTTACCGTGAGTGAGGGGGATCAGAGCCACAGAGCCAGTGGTTTGGCTGCTTACCTGTCTGTGACCATAGGTAAGTCAGGTGACTGCTCTGACCTTCAGTTTCCTCCTCTCTAAAGTGAGTGCATCACAGGGTTGTTGCAAAACTTTCATGAGGTCATAGATGTGAACAGTGCTCCATAACTGACTGATTCCCATACAAATGTTAATTATTATGCAAATGGACATTCACTAGATTTTTGGCACATTTTTATCCCAGTGAATATGTGGTTAAGTATGGGTCATTTCAGTGGTGCATGCCACAGGGGCCATTGGTAGGACCAGGGCCTAAGCCCTGGAAGAGTGGGGTCAAGAGAGAGAAACTGCAGTTCTCAAGGATACTCAGGCACATGGAACTGGGTGAATAAGAAACTGATGTTATAGTGATCCTCAGACACAGCTACATGGTGTTTTCTCACCTACAGTCTGAAGTGACCTAAAAATTTGGAGCAGCAATAAAATAAATAAAATTTAGGGCAGTAGGTTTTTGATGACTTCAGCTGGACAGGTTAAGAGGGAAGCCAAAACAGGAATCACAAGGGTCATTCAACTCTCCCACACCTACTTCACAGGAATTATTTATATTTATAACATCATGCAATAAACATTAACTGAGTGCCCATTTTGTTGATTAAATTGTGCCCTCAAGAAAATATTTGTTGAAGTCCTAACCCCTGGTACTGGTAAAAGTGACATTATTTGGAAATAGGGTCTTTGCATTTTTAACTAGTTAAGATGAGGTCACAGTGGATTATGGTGGGCCCTAAATCCAATGACTGGTGTTCTTATGAGGAGGCCATGGGAAGACAAGAGATGCAGATACACAGGGAAGGAGGCCATGTGATGACAGACGCAGAGGTAGGATTAAAGTATCTACAAGCCAAGGGACACCCAGGATCACCCGTGGGCACCAGAAGCTACGGGAGAGACCTGGAACGTGTTCTCTCTCATAGCCTCCAGAAGGAACCAACCCTGCTGTTGGAGTGAACAGGACTGAAGCCATGTTAAGACCTAAAACTACAGGGGCTGTAGATGTATTTTAAAAGGACACAGTTTTTTTTCTTGGCATGTAGTTCTCTGAGTTCCCTCTTTTCTAGTGGTTATCTGGTATTTTGAACCTTGATTATGGGGCAAGATGACATTATTTACAAGAATGTAAAGTTGTTTTCCAGCCAGGCTGAAGCTTCAGACTTACCAGGAGGCATGTATTATCCAGACCCTAACAAAATAGCAAAGATGGGGGCAGAAACCAGATGGAGTCTTCGTGAGGCTTTGCACCTGAGACTCTTGCTGCTCATGTGCCTTCCTCCTGCTTTTCATTTCCTGCATTCCATTCCCTCTGCTCCCTCTTTAAAAGCCCCTCAGTAAATCTGAGTCTTTGAAACGCTTTTAGTCTGGCTATTCTTAAAGTTCACCAGAGAGATGGGTTAGCCTAACATCTCTCTTCAGGTCACCGGTATTCCTGAATAAAACCTGACTTCTGTGTAGTATACTAACATTTATGAAGCAAATGTATTTCACAGGCCCTTGTTTCCAAAGCCTGTAGTTTCAGGTATAACCTAACCTTTTAAAATTACATATGGAAATGTTAAGCTTGCAAAAGACAGGAAACTTTCCCCAGGCTAAAGTCTCTGATGTAGATAAAGAACTGTAACACAACAAAATTGAGGACTCAAGGACAGATGTCCTTGGAGCTGGTTAACCTAAAGTTACTTTATTGTTATGTAAACATACTGAGGAACCTCCTGTAGGAAAAGACAGTGTTTGCTAAGAACAAGCTTTTGTTGGTGGATCAACTTAACCTTTTGCAAATTGCATTATGGAATTTCACTTTGCTATTTCACTGATGTTACCAGCCTCTATTGTTAAACTATACTTAGCCATAACTCCACCTATGTTCTTTTTCTGTAACTTTCTGTCCTGGAGAATAAATACTGAGAAAGAACCCCAGTCCAGTGTTAATTTCCCAAGGAGGAATGCCTCCCTCTTGAGGGTTCCAGGAAATTAACCCCTTTGGGGTTTCTCACTGCTCAGAAGAAATGGGCTTTGAGTAATCCTTTGCATCTCCATACCCCAGGGGGAGAGAGGTGACAAAGAGAGTGCAACAGACTTCCATTTTCACCGACATTTGATTTTGAATGGTTTGTTTTTGTCTGGGGGCAGGCAGCAGGACCTGTGCTGATAACACTACCAATACCTTGATTTCAGGCTTCTAGTCTCCAGAACTGTGAGAGAATACATTTCTGTTGTTTAAGCCACCAAGTATGTGGTCATTCATATGGCAGTCCTAGGAAAATAAGACAGCCCAACCATTAGCTAGACCCAGAGACAAAAAGAAACCAGTTGCAATGCTCAAGCAGCATCACTGCAAGGGCAGCTTCCTGAGGAAGGGCTATTGTGAGAGTAAATGAGGTCACGGATGTGGAGGGGGCATTACTATTATTGCTGTGGTTCATGCTGGGCTGAATCAAGGCCCCTCCATAGTCAGGGTGCCCTGCCAGGCAGGCCGCTTTCAGAGAGGGAGAGGAGATTAATCCAACAAGCCTTATTCTTTGTCAAACCACATGGATAATTACTCAGAACTCTATTTCTTTCACGGTTTTTGCAAATGGATTTTGTGGTGATTTTTTTTCCGGGCATTTTGGCAGTGGCAAGAGGGACATAAAAGAGAGCCCATTAACATCAGCAGGTGTCACTGGGGACGCCAAAGTGCTGAGAAGAAGAAGAGAAATATCCTTAATTAAAGCAGAAACAGCTAGAGGTTACCTGGGTCTCCAAAATGCTGTGGTGTTGGCAGTCTAATTCCTGGGGCCTTTCTTTGGCTCTTCGGGGATATACCTTATTTTGTTGGATAAATTCTTCCAGCCTTAAAACCTAAAACAGAAGATAGGAAAAACTCGTCAATGAAACAAAGTCCTTCCTCCTGTATATGGGCATTAATCTGGGAATCAATTCCCTTGGGCCAACCAGTTCTGGGGAGAGTGACCCATTAGATGAGTTCCACATGTGCATCTAGAAATGCCACTTCTAATTAGCTAGTTGCCCAGTCTTTACAGAGGAAGATGAGCCTGGCAGGTCTACAGTACTCCACACTTTAAGTTATTTACATACATGTTTCTGTGCTAGATCTGTAGGGTGGCTTTCATTGGTTTTCATACCATTCCTGGAAGGCCACTTAAGTTTTTTTTAAAAAGTTAGTTGGTAAATAAAATGAACAACATTTAAGACTGTACAGATAAAATGAGAGAAGAGCACCTGGGAGGTGCTGTTAAATTATAAAGCCTTAATTATGATAATGATTATTAATTAACTAATTGTAACTTATCAATTACACTGCTTTCCCTCTAGACTTTGAGTAGAATGAAGCCAATAACCATAAAGGAAACTCAAACACTGCTAGCAAATCTTTGTAGAAAAACCTGGTCAGGCACCATGCTAGGTACAAGGAGGAAAGAGAAGGGATGACGTGAGAGCAAGACAATAAACTAATAAAACATGGTTCCTGTCTTTAAGAAGCAAGAATTTCATGGGGGTGATAGGTGTATTGTATAACCACAGCGATACTCAGTAGAGGTACATAAAAAATAATAATAGTACCATTCATGGTGCATGTGCCAGCCACAGATTTGAGCGTTTTACTGTATTAATTCTTTTAATCCTCACAGCAACCATTATGTACTGGGTACTACTGCATAGAGTTTACAGCAATCAACTCTGCCCAGAGAAGTCCAGACAGCTTTAAAGGCTCTGAAGGAGGAATAAGAATCTGCCAATGGTGAAGGTGGGGAAGTACATTCCAGGCATCAGGGACAGCAGGTGCAATGGCAGAAGGTGGGGTGTGAAGACTGCAGGGGCCAGCACGAAGGATTGGACAGAGAAGGCAGTCTTGGGGGGTAGTGGTGGCAAGTTATGCTGGGTCCAAACTCTGAGAAACATGGGGATTAAAGATTGCAGGGAAGGAGGAGTGAGGCCTTGAGTAGATTTGGGTTTTGGAACACGAATTCTGAAATTAGCTGGCCTAGGGAGAATGTGGAGGCAGGGAGATCCGTGACAACACCCTGGCAAGGCTCTAGAAAACATCACAGAGGAACAGCAAGGCTGTCGGAAAGTCCTCTAGGCTTTACCTAAGAAATATTTGGAGAAGAAATATTTCAAGATTATGAAACTCTCCTTATAGTGCATCTTACTAAGGTTTATAAAATATTTAGAGGAGTCCTGTGCAGCAATTGTTTATGTAACATCCATAAGCAGGTTAAAAAAAAAAAGAGTCTAGGCAAACCATTATGAGGATCTTGCAAAGGCATTTGGTGTAGAGAGAAGGGAGTGGACAGAAAGGCTTAAGTCATAGGACCCAGAGGACTGGACAATTGAGTGTATGCGATGGTGGGGCAGGGTGGTGGCCAGGGGTGTGGACGGGAGCTGGGAGAGGAGGTTGTGGTCAAGGGTGACTCTTCCATTTCTAGCTTTGGTAAGTGGGTGAACAGATAAGTGGTAGAAGAAATCGCAGATGAACAGCAAGACTGAGGCACTCTGTCCTTGGTCAACCTCTTGGTCATGCCTTACAATCTGTAAACATTCAGGTCCTGAATGATCCTTAGTCATCAAAGAGGGAATATACCGTACCAGAGGCAGTGTTAGCATAGTGGTTAAGGGTGGGGTCTTCAGAGCCACATTGCTCGGATTTGAATCCCAGATCAGCTACTTGTTAGCTGTGCAACTTTGAGGAAGTAGTTTACCTTCTCTGGGCCTCTATTTTCTCTTTTTTTTTTTGTCTTTTTTGTCTTTTTTCCGTGTCCGGCAACGGACCGCAACCCTCAGTGTTGCCCCCGTACCGGACCGGGGACCGGCAACGGGATCGCAAGCCTCGGTGTTGCTCCCACGCCTCGCTCAGCCAGTGAGCGGGAACCGGTCCGTATATGGGATCCGAACCCTCGGACGGGAGCGCCGCCGCGCCTCCCAAGCGGCGCACTATCCAGTGCGCCACCGGGCCGGCCTATTTTCTCATTTATAAATTAGAGATAATAATAGCATCTACATTGTAATATGGTTTTGAGGATTAAGAGTTAATACCTGTAAAGGGCTTAGATAGTACCTTAACCAGAGCAAGTGCTCAACAAAAGTAGCCATTGTTATTTTTAAAGAGGGGCTCTAAGGGGCATTCACAGAAACAGTCAGACAAATAGCTGGGCCAGTCTCATACACATACATAAAGCCTCCTTAAATTCTGCATTGCAGAGTGGTCCAGGTACAAAGAGAAGATTGGCGGCATGGGTCAGAAGGAGGAGAAGGAGGAGAGGAGGGAAGAAGGCAGAGGTGAAAAAGGGAGGGAGGGAGAAGACGAGGATGGGAGAGAGGGAGGAAGGAAGGGACAAAGGAGAAGGAAATGGGCTTCTCTCCTGTGCAGCCCCCCTTGGTCTGCGCTAGGTCAGAAGCCTTCACAGCAGACACTTCACCAAGACCCTTCTCTGGACCCTGATAGATCAAGTCTAAGGCACGGCTTGCTCATCTTTTCTTTTTCCAAATACTAATCTCAGAAATAGAAAGGGAAAAATATAACTAACAACTGTGTACTTACCACTCATCTGAAGAAATAACACATCACAAATACAGTTGCAGCCCCTTACACTTCTCCCCGATCCATCATCCTCTCTCTCTTTCAGAAATAACCACTGGTTCAAATCTGTTTCTGTTGTCCTCTCACAGATTCTTTAGATTTAACTCCATGTATATGTATTCCCAAACAATTCACACTGTTTTGCACATGCCCCTGCATTCTTAAAAGCTGGGGAACCAGTTTCATGGGATCCTGACGGGTAGGGGGAGGCATAGGTCTCGCCTGGAAGGTTGGAGGGAGGTCAGCGGAAGGGAGGAAACTTCCTGACATTTTTTGGTCTAATCAGGCTCAGATATGGCTCTTAGGATCCTGTTTCCACCCTCTTCTACTTGTTCTCTGATACTTTTAGGGGCCCACCAGTATATTTTCACTTCTTTTAAAATCAGAAGAAAAAAAGTACAGTCTGGAGTATATTCATCTTTCATCCAGCACAGTCATAAAATATAAATTTTTAGGTTTTTTTTTTTTTTTTTTTTTTTTTTAAAGGTAAAGGAAGGACTCAGGAAGGCAAAAGTACGCATGGCCCACAAAAGTGACAGTGCAGAAGGGAGAAGGAAAGGGCAGGAGAACTGCAGATTTACCACTCCTGATAAATTCAGCCACAGAATCAACACCAGCAGCCTCCTGCGCCCTTCTTTTATGGGAGACATTAAAAGCCTCTTTGTTTAAGCCTCTATAAATCAGGCTCTCTGTTCCTTGCAGCTAAATTTATGCCTCCTGGCACAGCCTTCCTGTCTGGCCAAGTGTCCTTTTCTTTCTTTTGAGGATGTAAGGAGGTCGAGGCAGTCTCCTGAGATTACTGGCATCTCAGCCAGAAACTCCAGCATCCAGAACCATCACTCCCAAGCGTTGCACTTATTTGGGACTTACCTCCAGCAGAGAATTCTGCAGCTTCACATTCAAGGCCGTCTTCTCTTCTTCCAGCTGCTTTATTTCTTTTTCTGATTTCTTCTTCACTTCCTCCAACTGTGTTTCTACTTCCTACACGATGATTAGAAGAACGAAAGCACAAAAACAGGACACGGCATATTTACACCCTGCCTTATTCCCAAAGAGGATCAAATAAGTTTACGAGAGTCATGAAATGCTGCAAGAAATTAGAAATTGGTGAGAAGGTCAGAACAAAACAAGTGTTAAATTCACACCAGGAAGTCTGATAAATATGGGGGTGGGCTAGGATGGAAAAGACCCTTGACTTTAAGTTTTCTAGTCGCATATAAGAAAAGAGAATGCTCATTTCTAATAAAATTCCCACTGTCTCATAAGTGAAAAAGCCAACACATTTTCAGATGCAGGGAAATATTAAAAGCAGAACATTTCTCCTCAATAGCATCCACATATTAGCAAAATGATGGGGTCACCGGGCTGATTCCTCTACAGTCCCTCACCACAGACTGTGAGCCTCTGTACAAAGGAGATCCAGATGAAGGAACATTCTTGGCTGTGCTTCCTTCTTGCTTTCTTAAGGAAAATGTGGCACCTAGTACATACAAATGCCGGAATGAAAGTTTTTCCCACCTCTGCTAGAAAGAAGATGAGAGAGTCCTTGTGGGAAGGCCCCAGACTTTGTTCCCCAAAGCAGGGTGGAGAAGCTGCAGGAGCTGGAGCCGCTCTGTTTCAGAGGGGTAAGGGGTGTGCAAACCAATATACAGAAACGTGTGGGGCAAAGGCTTATGTAACAGGAGCTGATCTGGGGTAAAATGTAAACTTGTCATTTATTCATTCATTTAGCTAACAAATATTAACTGAACATCTATCATATGCCAACTACCATGATAAGGGGCTAGGGATATAGTCAGTCATGCTGGTAAATGTTTAACAACTGACCTCCCCCAACCACCACCCCCCCAAAAAAACCCCAAAATGAACAAAAACCAAATTGATTTGTAGCATCTGTTGATTTCCAGGTATAAGTTCACCTGTCAAGACTGATGTTAAGTTACTATGGTGATGTTACTGAACATCACTGTAGTGAGTTAGAAAGAGATGTGACAATCGCCTCTCATGAGTCAGTGTGAGCTGGCTCCAACCCACCTCTGGATGTCATAGTGAACACAGCAGTGTGGTGGGGAAAACATACAGTGAACAGGCAATTATGACGCAGTGTAGTAAGAGCTATGCTAATGGAGGTCCAGGGGCTGCCATGTACCAGACAGCATCAGTAGGCTGGGCAGGGAGGACTTGGGAGAAGACCCATATTTAAACTAGGACCAAAAGGATCAGTAAGAACTGGAGAGAAGTAGACAGGTGAATTTTGGAGCAGGAAGGAAAGTGTTCCCTTTCAAGGGAAAGCTACTATAAAGGCCCAGAAGGGCAAGAATATGGAATGGATGATGAAGTAAAAGACTGGAGGGCAGAAGGAAAGAGTGATGTGATTAGACTGTAAGGGTCACGTGACCTGGACATTTGGCATGCGTGTTCAGTAGATCCAGAATCCCCTTTTGCAGGGCTTGTTGCTTTGGAGATATCCTTTTCTAAAGACAATATGTAAATTATCCTTTGGCTCCAAACAAGTTGCTATAACTTAAGCAACCATCAGAAACAAGGCCATCCCCTCAGGAAAAATTCAGAATTTTTTACTTCTCATTTACAGAAGCTTTTATAGAACAAAATTTTGTGACATGCTTAACGGTACAGACACTCACTAACTCTGCCACGATGTGTTCGCTGTAGCAGCACAGTGAAACATCTTTTGTGATAATGATTTCTAGCATAAGGGAATGTCTATTTCTAATTTTACACAGCCTATCTTCCTTGGGTGCAAGTAATCAACCACAGTTCCAGTTGTTGCTTTGACAAATGGATATAACGTGAAAAAAAAATTCCCCATAGATGGAAATAACTGATTTCAGCAGTCATTTTTGGCATTAGTAAGCTTCATTTTAGGTGCGGAATAATGTAGTTTACTGTCAGGAGACAAACCATTCTGGGTCACCTGGAGAACACAGATTAGAAAGAAGCATGCCCATTCCAACTCAGCCCAAAGTGACCTTGAAGATTTCAACAGGAAGCAGCAACATCCTAACTCAGGTGAAGAAAAAAAAGAACCACAAAGACAATAACACGAGAAAAAAAAAAAAAAAAAAGCGAGAGAGAGAGACTAATGCTTTCAAATATATAAACTGCTACAGCCTAAACCTGAAACAGGTTTCCATGGGCCATTCATTTACAGAATTCACAGATCACTTTCATTAACTCTGTTCTCACTGAACTTTCATATATCCAGGGAAACAGGCTTTATTGCACCCATTTTACGTAAAAGAAATCCCATAGCTGATAAGAGGTAAAAGCAGGACTCACACCCATTTTCTGTCTCCTTGTCTAGATGGTTCACAATTACAGGTAATTGAAAAGACACGTGTAGGAGCCACCATGAGGGAACAACAACTGAACAACCACAGAAAGTGACCACACAGAGATCTCAGTTGGTGTTTTAAGGGAAAACATGTTCACTTTTTTCAAGAAGACAAGTTACTTATACAGAATGTATTTATAGTAAAGTTTATGGTGCAGCTGAAAGAGTCAACCAATACAAAGCCTAAAATGTCACTTGGAATCAGTCATTAGCAACAATACCAAATCAGTACAAATCAACACATGGGTTATTATGATATGAACAAGCCCAGAAAAACAAATGATATGGACAAGCCCAGAAAAACTCAAACCTGCACCTGTACTTCTGCTTTTTTTGTTTTGCTTTTGTAACAGTGACCACCTTTTGTATCAGCTTAGCCCCCCACCATGTGGATTTCGAGAAATTGAAACCTACAACCTCAGAAGAATGTAACCCATATAACCCTTTGCAAGCCTGGAGTTGGGGCTCAGACTTTGGAGTGTGAACTCCTCCGGGCCCGCCGGTGTAATAAATCTTTGAGTTCTCCAACCCTCAGAGTGACACTTGGTTTTCAGCAGTCTGTTCTGTAACATTTCAACCCCATGAAGGGTCACACCTCAGTAGCACAGCTTAACTAGCACTAGAGCAAATGCCACTCTAGACTCATCCTAGCAAAGCTTAAAAATAAGTCAGGAAAATAGCAAATTTCACATTATGTATATTTTACCAGAATAAGAAAATAAGTCTCAAAAAAATGAAGCTGATTCACAAGTAATTTAACTGCTTGTCAAAACAAAACTCAGCACTTATTAAACAATGACAATAAAATCCAAACTTTTAACAACTTAACCTAAATGTCCAGCATTTAATCAAAAATTACTATTTATACTCAAAAAAAGCATGAAAATTGACTCACAACTAGGAGAAAAATCAATAAATAGAAAATGACCCCAAAATTTCAGACATTAGGACATTAAAAGAGCAATTATAGGAATTGGTAAAGGGACATGAAAATCAACTACATTGTATATTGATAAATTAAAAATAAAAAAAAATTAAAAAGAGAAATTATAAATGTGTTCAAGATTTGAACGGTAAACATGAACATAACGAAGAAGGAAAATTTTATATAAAGAAGAACAGAATAGGATTTCTAGAGCTGAAAAATATATCTGAAATGAAAAATGTACTACATGAGCTTTAAAAAAGATTAGATGGTACACAGAAAAAAATGAATGAATTTGAAGATACAGCAATAGAAATATCCACTCTGAAGCACAGAGAGACAAGGAGTCTGAAAATAAATGAATAGAGCCTCAATGACTCATGGGACAATATCAGAAGGGGGGCAGAGCAGGAAAAAAATGGAAGAAATAATGGCCTTAAAATTTCAAAATTGCTTGAAAGCTATAAACCCACAAGTTCAATAAGCGTTGTGCAGAAAATGCAAAGAAAATCACCCCATGGCATATCATAATCAGATTGTTGAAAACCAGTAATCAAGAGAAAACCTTAAAAGCAGTCAGAGAAAAAAATTCACATTATGCACAAGGAAAAAAAGTAAACGTGGCTGCTGACATTTCATTAGAAGAAAATGCAACCCAGAAGATATTGAATGACATCTTTAAAGTGCTGAAAGAAAAAAAAAATGTCAACCTAGAATCCTATATCCAGGAAAAATACCCATCAAAAATGAAGGCAATATAAAGGGAGAAAGAATTTGTTGTGAGTAGACACACACTACAAGAAATGTGATAGGAAGTTCTTCAGGCTAAAGAAAAATGATACTACACGGGCACTTGAATCTACCAAAGGAATGAATGAAGAATGCAGAAATACATAAAAGACTTTTTTCTCATTAAAAGTATAGTTGCCTGTTTAAGCAAATATAAAAATAATGTCCTGTGGGATTTATAATGTGTAAAGTAAAACGTATGACAATTGTACAAAGGACAAGAGGGGGAAAACGGAGATGTATTGTCCTAAAGTTTGTATATGTGAAGTAAGATGATATTATTTGAAGATAGACTGTGGAAAACTTAATGCATATTATAAATCCTAGAGCAACCACTAGCCCTCTACCTGCCAAAAAAGAGGCATACCTATTAAGTCAAAAGTGGAAATAAAAAATGGAATATCAAAAAAATACTCAACAAATCCAGACTAAACAGAAAAGCAGGGGGGAACAGATGTTACAAGGAGGAAAAGCAGCAAGCTGGTAGACTTAATAATAATTACATTAAACACAAATGGTCTTAATGACCCCTAAAAGACAGAGATTGTCAAGCTGAATAAAAAAGTAAGACCCAAATATACCTCAAAAGCGCTCTGAATAGAAAGACACAAGTAGGTTAATGTAAAAGGAAGGATTAAAATAGACCAGGCAACACCAACCAGAGAATGCTGGACTATTTGTATTTTTATCAGACAAAGTAAACTTCAGAGTAAGGAATATTTCATAAATGATAAAAGGATCATCATCATCAAGAAGACATGAGTCCTAAATGTAGATGCATCAATAAAGAAGTTTCAATTTATATGAAGCAAAAACTGAGAACGGAAAAGAAATAGAAAAATCCATGATCTAAATTTGTGATTTCAATACTCCTCTCTTAGTAATCAACAGAACGTGTAGGGAAAAATCAGTAAGGACGTGAAAGACTGAAACAGCACTATCAACCACTTGACCTAAATAGCTTTTACAGAACGCTCCCCCCAATATCAGCAGATTCCCATTCTTTTCAAGAGCACACAGACCATTCATCAAGCTAGAGCACATTTAGGCCATAAAACAAACTGAACAAATTTAAAAGGAAAGAAATGACAGAATCTATCATTTCAGTGACCACAGGGAAACATATTAGAAATCAACAACAAAATTATTTTAGGAAAGGTCCAAATATTTGGAAATTAAACAAACTTCTAAATAACCAAGAATATTTTTGGAATTGATAGAAATAAAGAATTGGGGAAATTTTTGAGAAAATCATCTTAGTAATATTTATTACTGAAAATGAGAAAACAGAGGCCCAGAATGGTTTGCGGTGACTTACGTGAGGTTTGACAGTAAGACTGTTTTCCCCACACACAGTGCTTACTACACACTGACCTGACTCTGATCGGGTGCATCTTCTTCCCCCTACCAGAATTAGAGCTGATTCTTGCATCTGCATTGCTCAAAACACCAAGTACACATTCAGTAAATAGTAAATCAATAGTAAATGGATAGTGGCAAGGTGAGAGCCTGAATGCTGGTGTCCAAGGCCCAGGACAACGTGTATTCTGTTAAACACACACAGACTGGTAGGGGGCAAAAACTCCTGGCTTTGGAGTCAGAGAAGGCTGATTCATGTCCAGCTCTTGTCATATCTTAGCTGTGTGATACTCAAGTTACTTAACTTCCTAGGTTCCTCATCTGTGAAGTAGAAAAACAAGAACATGGCTGAGGTAAGGATCTGATCACTGAGTGGAGAGTTGACGTTGCTTTTGGCTACCAGGATCTGACTACCCACCCCTTTGGATGTTTGGGAATTCTCCATCTGATCCATCAGAGCCTTCCTCTTTTATAGAACCTGAAAATGCCAGACTTCCTAAAATGAGGGCGTTGGCACAGGAATGAAGCTCCCCCCACACACACCCATCCTGGATTTTGCATCAGGAGCCAGTGTACAAGCAAACTCACACCAAATATGCAATTGCAGTTTCCAGGGGCAGCAGGGCCAGTGCTTCTAGAGTAGTACTGATCAATTGAACTTCCTGTGATGATTGAGTGTTCTGAAGTTTGATGTAGCTAATGTGCAGGAGTCCCTCAGAGCTGTGCTGGCCAGTAGGGCAGCCAATAGCCACATATGGCTACTGAGCACTTGGAATGTGGCTAGCGTCACTGAGAAACTAAATTTAAAATGTTAATTGTAATTAATTTAAATTTAAATAATTACTTGTGTCTAGTGGCTCCCATATTAGACAATACAGATCTCAAGGCACCGTCCAGGGCTCAGTATTGGTGGTATCAGCTGTGTAAGCTGTAGGTCTGGGCTCAGAGGTGGCAGCAAAGGGGTCCTGATCAGTTTGGCAGTGGATTTGGGACATTATTTCTGGCTTGTAGCTGCCAAGCCCAGGTTCCTGGTCTTCCAGGTCTTACCCTTTACTAAATTTCTTTTTGGCCTAAATTCCCAGGGTAGGATTGTGATTCTTGTCACCACGAATCCTAACACTATTCAGATGTGGAGTACAGACGTGTCTAGCAGAGCTCAGGAGGTGCTCAATAAATCTTTGTTCCTTTCCCTGTGAGTCAGTATATGCAAGTGCTAATTACAGGATGTGTACTCTGTTCTGCCTGTCAAGATTAAGGGATAATATCATCTAATCCTGTGGTCAAGAAACACATATTGGCCTTCAGGGTCAACTCCAGCCCACCTTCCATAGTGTGTTCTTTGGGTTAAGGTAGCATTCAGGACACACAATATACCCACACTCAAGGGCTCAAAGAGTTAGTGTACTCCTGATTCTACAGGGGAAAATGGTGTCTATTTTTAGTGTATAAATGCAAGATTTGAGGCCTTTTCAAGTTTTTACCTTCCCCTAATCTGCATGGCCTAATTTTTATAATTTATATTCTCAGTTTCTTGACATGAGCAAGAAGTAAACCAAAAACAAAAACCAGGAAGTAAACACAGTTTATTTACTACAAGATTCATTTCCCAAATGGACTCATGCTCCCGATTAAAGCTGAAGTGAGACTTACACACTTAGAGTCACGTTGGGCTGGCAGGTTACCAGGACAACCTGCAGCCAGGAGAGCTACCATCCCTCCTGCTGATTGTGGCTCAAGATGGAAAGAGTGTTTGTCTATTTGGCTGAGGATTAGATTTGTGCAACCAGTTGCAGCTCCTGCGGAGAAAAATGCTTTCAATACAGCTGCCTACCCAGCACAGGGGTGGGGAAACCATGGGCTCTGGAGTCAGGAAGTTAGGTTTGAATTGCAGCTCCACCATTAACTGTGTGACTGGATGTATAACATCTTTGAGCCTCAGTTTCCTCAACTCTGCAATAGGGATGTGGGCTGGCAGGTTAGCTCAGTTGGTAAGAGCATGGCACTGATAACACTGAAGTCTAGGGTTCGATCCCTATCCTGGCCAGCTGTCCCAAAAAAGGGTGGGGAATATGAACACCCACTCTGTAACACTGTCAAAAGGATTAAATGTGTTCTTCATAAGTATCAAGTGCTTTAGAAGTATAAAGTACAGTGGGCACTAAATAATATTGTTATCACACATGATGTCATCCAGTACATGGTAATTAATAATAGCTGCTGTTTATTCAACTTTCTCTACATGCTGTGCACTGAAAATTGATATATAACACCATATTTAATTCACATAACAAGCCCTTGCAGTATTCTTTTTTACATTTAAAAAGTTTTATTTAAAAAGGTAAAACATATGCATCCATTTAAAAATGAAAATCCAAAGTCACTAAGTGAATCAATAACACAAACCTGTTTAAAGCATTGTCTTCACAGCACCCTTAGTTTAGCAATCAGGCTTCAGAGAGGTTAAGTGACCTGTCCATGGTCACACAGCTTGCAAAAGAACCAGTACCTAGACCCAGGACTAGTCTGGGTCTTTCATGAGTTCATTTATTAATCTAACCCTTATTTATTGAGTATTTATTACTCTTAGCCACCACACAACACTGCATCTTCCGGAAATACATGATTACCTTTCAGTGAACACTCAAAGCTGGTACTGCAGATTCTTGGATTATAAAAAGGCTTTCTGATAATAATCAAACAAAGCATTCCACGTATGTTCACAATAATATTGATTTACACTTCATTCTTTTCCTAAAACCTTCACATGTTATTTGCTTTTCCCAGCAAACTCCAGAGATGAGTCTTCACATGCCTTCTCTGTAGAAAGCTGCCCCCTCTGGTGGGAGCTGAGAACCATAAACAGACTGAGAATCTGCTCATTTCAGCACACCACTGATTAATTACCCACATCTACCTGCTGTCCACCATGTGCCCGGTCCTAGTGAGGCAAGACAGAATAGGGACACAGAATAGGAAGGCTACTCATGGATATTCAGACTGGATTGGCATTAGCCACCTCCTCTTTTTGCAGTTAATGAACCCATAATGAGCTGACAACAGCTTAACCACCCTACCAATCAGCATGCCACACCTGGAACTTTGCAGTTTTTGAACAAAAGCTTAAAATCACAAAAACCACTGTGACTGCACACTAGCAGGAACAAAAGTGCAGACTAGACCAAGAAGGGCAAAGTTAAGGGAAAAGTGACCCCACTGAGCATGATCAAAAACTTCAGAAACTGAGGATGCATGACAGGAAGCTGATGCAACCCTGTGTCAGCCTGTTACGCCTTTATTACCCTAGATCTTCCCCCACAGCTGAATATTCCTTAGGATATTATTAGGATATGTTTTATTTCTCCACATGGATTCCCTCACTGAATCTTCACAGCTATTTTACAAATGAGGAGCCTGAGAAACAAAGATACTCCTCTAGGGGGCCCAGATTAAACAACTTGCTATGTGGTGGCAGAGCGGGAATTTGAATCCAGACAGTCTTCTAGGACTGAGATTTTGGTATGAACCAAAACTGGTATTTCTCTGTGTTTTCACCAAGTGACTTTTCCTAAGTTAACTGCTCATATGGCACAATTCTTCCCCATGTCAACAACCCCAGGCCCTGGGGTCTCACACTCTTAGGGTGTTGTGGGGCACAGTCCACAACTAGGACAAAGATGGAGTCAGTCATGTCATGAGGTGAGGCCCATTACAAGGGATGTCCTGGGTCTCCTCCAAAAGACCCTGAAATCGCTTTAGGCAGGGACTGTGTTTTTCATCTGAGTGTATTCCAAGAATCAGCTGATATTTGTACACAGCAGGAGCTCAGTAAATGTTTGAGGAAGGAAAGAAGAAATAAAAAGAGAAAGGAAGGAAGTGGGAGAAGGGAAAAAGAAACGGAACAGTCTCTATGAAAGTGGACCTCACCTTCTGCAGCTTCTTTCTTTCAGCCTCCACAGATAAGCGGACTGATTTGATTTCCACGGCGTGCTTCTTTACCAAATCTTCCAGTCGCTTCACTAGCTGGTCTTTGAGATGTTTCTTCTCCTCTTCTGTCTGATGTTTGATTTTACGAAGGTCTTCTTCATACTGCTGCTTCATATATTCTGTCTCAATATTTGCCTCTTTTTTGCTCTATAAAAGGAAAAAGAACCTTGTAAAACTGCTGGGGAGTGGGGAAGGGCAAGAAATCACCGTTTCCCTTTCATACAACTTTTACGACATTTATATACTGATTTTACAGCATGTATCACAAGGTGAAATAAATTTTACAAGACTATATATTTGATATTTGTAAGAGACTGCACTTATCCACCATCAGAAAAGGGCTCTTTGGAATGGTGTATCTCTTGTCACAGGATCAGATATTTCAGCCCACACTAGTTTCTAAAGAATGCTTTGTTTTGATTGGGAACATGTGGTAGGATCCTGAGCAAGTTTCCAGTTTCCCAGGAGCCAACAATAAGGAGTTAGGATGATTCTGCTACATTCTCACCCTCCTAGTTTCAAATGACATGGAGTAGGCAGGAGGTTGACAAGAATGTCACTTCTGTTTTGTCACCCCTGAAACCATGGGACCTGCTGATTGCAAGTGGATCCACTGTGGTAGGGGAATGGCCTTTACCCAAAGTTCATGCCAGCATGAACTTCTCCGTGACTTCTCCATCCCCAGGGCTGGGTCAGACCCTACCTGTGTATCTGTGTCTCCTTTCATACGTGGACACTCCTTGGCAAAGCTTTGATTCTGCTGCGGATGAAGACTGCGGGCTTCTAAGTCATTCATTTCCCCCGGGACTTCATTGTCTGAAACTAGCTCAGTCTTCATGTCATCTGCAAGTAGAAGTTTGACATCATTTGAAATGCTCTTGACCTTCGCCTCATGTCCAAGGCCTTCTGCAGTCAAGTTCCCGTTCTGCTCTTCAACCATTTGTCCACTGCTCCCTTAAGAAATCCCTGCTCCATGGTCTGTTGGACCTAAAGCATGGTCAAGATGACGACTCTCATCTTTGCTTACACAGCATCCTGAGCTAAATAGTTGCCCTGAAGTCCTCTCCTAAACTGGTAATCTCCAAATTTTTAAATTGTGCTTTCTATAGGTTAAAAAAAATGAGCATGTTCCTCAATATATGTACATTCAATAGAAATTCAAAGGATGAAACAGAAAATAAAAACTAGAATTGCTGTTTTCCCTCCCATATTCCCTGAGGTTCTCATGCCCTACTTTTGAGACCACCATTCTAAACCCACAACACCCTTCTGGTTCCAACTCAACCTCTCCTCTTCCGCACCTTACCAGCCCATGGTGATTTCGTCTTTCCCAGACATATAATTTCCCTACTGCCCGGACCATGCCTGTGATACCAAAGCATGCCACTGGCTATAACGTAACAGTCCCATAAGTTCCCAAAGGCAGAGCCCATGTTTTGTGCCTTTGTTATATCTCCCAGTGTCAAACTGGTCACACTGTAGGTGTTCAAGAACTTTCTGTTGAAGGAACCTAGAGAAAGGCACTTGGAGCTTGATATTCTTAGATAAAAACACCAACTCTATCACCAACCAGCTGGCTGACCTTGAACCAGCTGCTTATCCTTTCTCAACCTCATTTCTTCATCTGTAACCTGGGAGACTGACAACACATGTCTCAAAAAATCACTGAGAAGACCCACTAATGTAATTGTGGGAAGTGATATTAGAAGTATAAAGCATTGTCTAAGGGTGGGGGGAAAACCCAGTGCTAAGAAGTTCTGGTACTGCGGTGGGCCTGGTGGGGAAATATTTGGGGCAAGGGGTCCTTTTTGCATCATACCTTTTAGATGTCTGGTCTGCACCAACTCCAGGTGAGGCAGCTCTTGGTGCCAGCTCACCTGTGGCCTGCAGAGATTGGACTCATCCACCAGGCAAGTCAGATCACACAGCCCTGCCCCTCCACTCTGCTCCCTCCGCAGTTTCAAGGCATCCAGTAGCACCAGGCTGACCTGGCAGCTAACCTTAGATCTTTAAGGAAATCATTCCAGGGCATCTCACCAGTTTTCTCTGTCACATGACACTCCTGCAGCATCAGTCTGTCTTTGGCAACAGCCAGCTTCTCCCCAAGTTTTTTTGCGGTGCTTTTCAACTCTGAATTCTCCTGTCGCGCCTCCCTGAGCTGCACATCCAGGTCCTAAATAGACAGGAAGGGTCCCATTTCTCTGGTTACAGGTCTGTATAGAGACATCCTGTGTATACAGAACAGCCATCAGAGCTGAAAGGTGGGTAAGTGCACAGCAGAAGCCCTGAGTCTCTGGAAGTCAGTGGCTCACGGTTCATCAAATCCTTCCTCCTAGAATTAGCTGTGTGGCCCCAGGCAATTTAACCTTTCTGTAGTGAGGATTAAATGATATGAAGAGTCTGAAAAAAGTGCTCAGGATGTATTAGGAATATTAGCTGCTGCTACTTTTAGAGATGGGGATCTGAGCCTTTGTGGGGCTCACATGACTGACTCATCAATGGTCCCGCTCTCTATGAACGCAAAGTTCTAAGGATTTTAGGACAGGCAGTTTGTTGTGGAACTAGCAAGGGCTTTAGTATTAGGCTGACCTAAGTTCAAAAATGTTTTAGCCACATGCCACTAAATCAGCCCTTAAGCCTCTCAATTTCAGTCTTGTCTTCTCATCTGTAAACTATAAGTCTTTAAGATCTCTGCAGTTAGGGACCAGGTCTAGATCACCGTGTATTCCCTGCTCCTAGCCCTGCGCCTGGCACATAATAGGTGTTCAACAAATGTTGAAGGAATGTAGTTGAACTCAATGGAGACAATAAAGCTCACCTTGGTAGAAGTCAAGTGCTTAGCACAGTGCCTGACATATTAGGTGTTCAAAATTAGCAGCCATGCTTGTTAGCCCATTGGGGAGGGAAGAGGAGACGTTGCATTACCTGAATCCTTTCCTTCAGCTTCTGGGCGTACTTCTTCAGGTCACTTATCTTGCGGCCTCTGTGTTCCAGGTCCCCTTCCAGCTTCCTAACCTGGGCCTGCAGGGCCGACTCCTGGCCCTGGAAGTTCTTGCGGAGGTCCGTCTCCTTCTCCTGCCACTGCCACAGGGCCTCGCTCACCGACTGCTGCATGGCTTGCCGGATGGCCTCGTTCTCCCGCTCGTAGGTGGCCTGCAGCTCCTCGGCCTTGCGCGCGTAGTCCTTGCTCAGCTGCTGGTTCTCCACCCGCAGCCGCTCCACCTCCAGCAGGACCTCCTGCATCCCGGGGCCCTGGCCAGGATCTGCCTCGGCGTCAGGGCTCTCCTGGGAAAGCCGGGCCCGCGGCGGGGGCTCGTGGCTGGTCAGGCGCCGGAGCCTCTTCTCATAGTCAGCCTTAAGCTCCAGCATCTCCTTGGAGAGCGTCAGGACGCGCTCGGCGTGCTCCGCCTCGGCCCGCAGCTCTCTCTCTTTGGTCTCCAGCCTGCACGAAGCCGACTCGGCCCGCGCCTCTTGCGTCAGCCTCTTCTGCAGCTCCAGGGCGCTCTCCAGGGCCTGGATGCGCTGGAGAAGGGGCTCCTGGGCGGCGCGGCCCTGCGCCTGCAGGAGCCTGGCCTCGGTCTCCGCCACCGCGTTCTGCAGCTCCTTCTGGTGCGCTTCCTGCAGCGCCTCCAGGCTGGCCTCGGCCTCATCCTGGCGGGTGTTCAGGGTGTAAATCACCTGCAGGAAAATCAACAGGGCCCAGTCAGGGCGAGCGGTGTGGGTGTGCGGGAGGGCCGATGTGACCTGAGGTCCCCTTCACGCTGCTGACTTAGGTTCATCCGCACCAGCAGCAGCTGAGAAGAGCATCTGTGCAGAAGGGATTTGTTAGAAACTGCTCCCGGGAGAAGCCAGTGAGAGAGAAGGGATTGGGAAAGGGAGGGGTGGAAGCCAAGCAAAAGGGTGACACTGCACAAAGTCCCCAGAGAGGGTCTCTGTGGCGGAACCCCGCAGGGGACCTCTGGAGGACAGTGGGAATCCAGCGAAGAGTTTTAAAGCAGAGAAAAGATGTGATCTCGTTTGTTCAAAAACAAACAAAAACCAAAAAATCTTTGGAATGCAAAAACCCCAACAAAACACTAGAAAATTGAACCCAGCAGTCGATAAAAAGGTTGGTATAACATCTGAAAATCAGCCAATGTAATATACCACATCGATAGTACAAAGGACAAAAATCACAGGGTTGTCTTGACTCAGGAAAAACATTTGACAAAAGTCAACATCCTTTCATGGTAAAAACACTTAACAAGCTAGAAATAGAAGGAAAGCTCCTCAACCTGATAAAGGGCATGTATGAAAAGCCCACAGCTAACATCACACTCGATGGTGAAGGACTGAAAGCTTTCCCCATTAGATCAGGAACAAGACAGGGATGGCTACTCTTTCCACTTCTAAAACGAAAGGAAAAAAAAAAAAAAGAATGCCTTCTTTGCTGTGTGGAGAATAGAATGAAGAAAGACAGGTGCACAGTGGGAAATAAGAAGTCAAGAGACCTTACCATCATGTTGACCTGAGCAACAGGCAGATGTTTGCTGAAATAGAAAAAACTGTAGGTAGAATAGGTGTTGAGAAGAAACAAAATTTTATGAAACAGGAGGAATAAGTTCAAGAGATCAATTACAAAACTGGTGACTATAGTTAATAATAATATATTTTATATTTGAAATTTGCTGAGAGTAGACTTTGAGTGTTCTTACCACACACACACAAAAGATAAGTATGTGAGCTAATGCATATGTTAATTAGCTTGATTTAGCCATTCCACAATGTATACATATCTCGAAACATCACGTTGTACACCACATATATACAATTTTTATTTGTGGATTAAATAATAATTTTGAAAATAAATTTTAAAATAGAAATTTAAAGACACATGTAAAAAAAGAATTCTATGCTGGACGTATTAAATTTGATATACCTCTATGTAGACACCTATTGGAGATGGTGCTAAGGCAACTAGATAAATGTCCTGGGCTTAGAGGAGGAAGCCAGAGCTAGAGTGAAGGAAATATGGAATTAGGAGAGTTCTGTTGTTGCTACTGTTCGCTTGATGAGAGATTCCCGAGCATATCTGCATGACGATGGGAACCACCCTATAGAGAATCCAGAAGCTGAAGGCCCAGAAATGACAACAAAGGTAACAAAGAATAAAGATAAATAAAAGTAATAAAGATAACAAAGGGTCAAAATCCCTGAGAAGGGCAGCCCACAGAGATTGGTTTTGAGAGCAAGACGGAGCAGAGGGAAGGAAGAGACGGGCACAGGTGTGTGGCCCTGGTGACAGGAGAATGAGGAAGCTCTCACCTTGTAGAGGTGAGAAGGTGGCTTCTACTGTCTCAGTGAGGACTGAGGTTAGGTCATTAACAAACAGCGTGCTGAGTTAGGGACAGGAAGGAAGCATGGGAGGTTTGAGGGGTGAGAAGTTGTGGACTAGTTTGGGGGCAGGGGGAGGTGGGTAGTTTACATCACAGGGCAGCAAGGAAGGGGTGTGTTTTAGTCCGTTTTGTGTTGCTATAACAGAAATACCTGAGACTGGGTCATTTATAAAGGAAAGAGGTTTATTTGGCTTATGACTCTGGGACAGCTGCATCTGGCACGGGCCTCAGGCTGCTTCTACTCATGGTGGAAAGTGGCAGCAGCCGGCGGGGACAAGCAGATCACATGGTGAGAGGAAGCAAGAGAGAGAGAGAGGAGGTGCCAGGGTCCTATAAACAATAAGCTCTCGCGGGAACTAACAGAGCGAGAACTCACTCATTACTCCCCCCTCCCCCAGGGAGAGCATTAATCCATTCATGAGGGATCCGCCCCCATGACTCAATCAGTTTCCGACACTGCCACAATGGGGATCAAATTTCCTCATGAGTTTTGGAGGGGACAACACACCCAAACTCCATTGGTGTGCTTAATGATAGTTCCCTGCTGTGTTGTGAGATTTTCCTCAGCTATGTGCATCTGATCAAGTTCAAGGAAGGAGGGATGGTTTATCAAGGGCTGGGGTTTTACTTGGCAAGTATGACAGAAGGAGAGAAGGACAGGGCAGTAGAAGCGTTTTCAAGAGCTGACAAACTGGAAGGATGAGGCACAGGCAGTTTTTGGTGATGACAAGGTCAAGGGTGTGGCAAGAGGCATGTGTGGCTGAGGCAGAGTCAAGGAAAAGATAACTGGAGATGAGGAGGTCCAGAAAGTGAGAAATCAAGGGGCTGTTTAAAGGCCATTTTAAGTGTTCTTATTGCAAAAAAATAACAATATGAGGTTACGCTTATGTTAAATAGCTTGACTTAGCCATTCTATAATGTATACATACACCAAAACATGGTGTTGCACACCCATAAATATGTAGAATTTTTACCTGTCAACTTAAAAATTCCTCATTTTTATTTTTGGCTGCTTCATATGCCATTGTAGGATGTGCTATAATGTATTTCTCTGTCTCCTACTGATATATATTAAGTTTTTCTGTGGAAGATTATCTACATGTTTCTTACTTCACCATTATTAAGTAAAATTATTCCTTTTCCCATTTCTGCCAGTAAACCTGGGATCTGCTTTTTGCTTATAAATGCAACTAATGAATTTCAAGAGCCTGGCGTGAAGAAAACTCAAGTCTTCATAATTAATACAGGATGCTCAGGAAGAGATGAATTAGGTGTCTCTGCTCTCTGTGGAAGGAAGGTGACAGGCCATTAGTGTCATTAAACTAGTTTGAAGAATTTTGAGAACATTCGCAAGCACCAAACTTGTCTTCCTGCACAACTTGGAGACGGGTGAGTGTTCATGACCGTGACCATGGCAGGGGCACTCCGGGGTCTGCTCCACCGGAACATTTGCTACCCTCACAACATCCTCTTTTGTTCCACATTCTCTGCTCCTTTCCTCTCACTATACTTGCTCAGTGAGCTCGACCCCTCTATCTTCTTCTAATCCAACAGTGTATTTTTGTCTTAGCATCCCTCCTTTTTAAGCCTAGACCCTATGGTCAGTCATTTCAGTTGCATTCTTACTGACATCTTCAAGTCCCCTGCCCACTTCAACTTTAGCCTTACATCCTTGGCATTCTGAACACCAGATCAACCCAGCCCACCGCCCCCCCCCCCCCCCCCC